TTTGCGGTTATATTGTATATATACATAACAACCAAGCGAAGAAATAAACATTACGCACCACAAATAATGTGCTTGTGTTGCCTTTGTAAGCTGCCAGGCATGTACATATATGATATAACGCCTATGTATTACCATGTTATATATATATAAATATATACGTGTATGTCAATTTACAACAGCACGAATTTATTTGTTTGCATCAATAGTCGCTTAAACCATTCATCTACAATTCTGCATTTTTAAGAATATTATATATGTCAAAAGGTTGATGATATTGATTTCATTGTGTTGATTATGCTGCTAAAGAGGTACTCCAGTCTTGAAATGAAGAAAATTCGATTTTATTTTCTTTTTATATTTCCAAAGTTTAACAAATAACTCTCTATCACATAAAGTAACAAAACATGAAAAATTTACATTTTTAATTTTTGTAAAGAGTTCGACATATTTAAAAAATTAGTGGAAATTTTTCCTTTAAAATTTTTCACTTATATTTTTGAGTAGCCTCCTTTTTACGAAAACAAAAATTTCAGTTATGCAGCCTTCTTGAGATAGCGACACTAGTACTAATCAAGAATTCATTATTGTTTTATTTTTCACATGACCACAAGGTTAGAAATCATGACGACGAGAACGCGACCTTTTTTCTTCCCTCTACATCAAGGAGTCATAACTTAATGAAAACAAAATTTTTTTTAGTAAATTTTATGATGACAAATGATAAAAAAAAACCCTTAAGCGTTTGAAGCACCTTTTTGCATGTAAAAAATAAATTTTTTTATAAACTCTTCAAATTAAAATCGAATTTCCAACTAAAAACAAACAATCTAGTGAAAAATAAATGTGATTCACTTTTAAATTGTAGATCCACATAATTTCAATAAGGGTTTAAATTATTTGAAATACAACACTACTCGCCTGATTCACAAGAAACTATTCTGCATAAATATGTTTATTTTCTACTCTCTATCCTGAATTACATCAGCAGACATCCAACTTCCCTTCATTATAACTAATTTTTTACTCTGTTACTTTGAATTGTTTCCTGTGCAAATTTTTTAGGCAAAATTATATTATGCACATTCTTCAATAACCTTTATCGTTCTATCCTATGTATATTTTGAAAGCTTAATATAATATTTTAAGAGCTTTTTTCAAGATAACGAAAATTTGGATTTTATGAATATTTAGTTATATTTCTCACATAATATCTTAACCATGCCATTGAAAAACTATTTTTTATATTAAATGCTACATAAGAGCATTAAAACTAAGATAAAACGTTCAATGTACTTATATATAATGTACCTATATATATGGTGAGAAAGCTTTAAAATCTCAATCTCAGCAGAAGCTTTTTGCCTATACAAAGAAAAAACGGAACTTTATATAAGGGAAAAATCGGAAGTAAATCTATTCCCACTGCTCCAAAACCTACAACGACAGTGTAATAACCAAACACATGTATAACAGATAAAGAGTAGACAGTCTGTTTTGAAACTGAGGCGAAAAAGAAAGAAATATTTCGAGAATTTAATTATATATGTACATAGTGAAGAGTTTTTAATTTTAACTGTTGGGTTTCATGTAAACATCATAATTATTATTCTGTAATATTCCGACGATCTTCTTCTCTGACCGTTTTCGAAAAATTTGGAAATCTCTTCTTAGCGCAAGAAATATAGAGCACAGAACACCAAACTACTCGGTAGACTACCTTTGAACGCATTAAAGAGCAGAATCTTTAATCGAAAACATGATATACTACAATATATCCTCGCCTATTTCATTAATCAAGTCCCACTTTTATATACAGTATATGAGCTGATACTTACTCAGTGTTAGTAAAACCCACATTAATAACACACTTCATATCACTTTCTGTGCCCAGCATTGGACAAGATTATTATTATTTTTTTTTTGTATTTTTTTTTTTGATTTTGACAGCGATGCAAAGCCTTTTCTTCTTATGCGTTTGCAAAATGCGTCTATGCTTTTGTGTGCGAATTTAATGCTCATCAAGGGCGATGAGTGTCACATATGAAAGAATACTCTCACCAGCAGTGTGACTACGCATATCAAAATGTGCAGATGGCAACAGTGCATACGTATAGTACATACTAGCCTATATAAGCTGTACTTGTTTAAATGTAAATATACTACTGGTAAGTGTAAGCTTCGTTTGTTTCATCATGCGTTGAGTGCATTTTATAAATAAACAAACAGCTTTGTGCAAATACAAACATGTTGTATAAATACACGCATACACCGATATGTACTTATGTATGTACGTATATAGATGCATTAAAGAAGCATACATCAAATATGAAATTAAAGTTTACGTGCATGTAAATAAGTAAATTAAAGCAAGAAGAAACGATACTGAAACCTTAATACCCTCTACAGGTGCATTTTTTATGTCATAAAAGAGTATAAAAGACCTTTATCTTGATTTTGATATGTCAGTTTGAATGGCAGCTATATGCTACAGTGGTCTGGTCTGAATAAATTGTTCGGAGTTTTGCAATACATTACGCCTAATTCCGTGCCGAATTTCGTGAAGATATCTTGCCAAATGAAATCATATCCCGTACAAGAACTTGAGTTTGATCGGTTCGTTAATTTAATTCCCGAATTTTGATATATATAGTATAGTTAGAATATATATCGAGTTATTGCAACTGACTCCATGCTAAGCTTAAGAGTTAAACAAGTACATATAAACGTTCGTATGTTATATGCCATTTGGATGTGATGTATTGCATTTCACTTATAATGCTTGTATCGCTATATATTCGCACAAATCATAATTTTCTCGGTCTGCATCCATATATACGCACAAATGTTCTATTGTGCGTATTTGCGCATAATTACGTTTGCAAACATACACTTGTACAAATATATTTCTTTGAGTTGTAGGGTGCACTTAATAACTGCGTTTTGTCGCAAACAATGCAGTGTGTTATAAGTATTTTACTGCGAGACAGGTTCAGTTCTACGTATATTTTTAAAAGCGCATGCGAGTGCATATTTGCACCATGTAATTGGAAATGCAATTAGTCGTCTTTCTGCGTGTTCTGTGCATCTGAAATTCACACTCAAAGACTATTGAAACCTGTTAGCAATTTTTATTGCATTGTAAAATTTTACCTGACACTACATCAAAGACCTAGTGGCTCGTTTCTGGTTAGAAGCCTCAAAGCAATATTTGCTAGAAAGAGAGTAATCGAGAATCAGCTATGGGTGCAGATATGGGTTTTCACCTAAAAGTGCGCGGTGCTACACCCACTGTCCAAATTTTGTATTGGCCTTTATAGCAGCCAATATCTCAATGCAAAAAGGGCTACAAACACGCCTACTTCCTATATAACGTGTCTATATATATATATCCTATATAATAAGTGTCAATGGTTCACTTTTTACCCTAATTATCGTTCAGTGTTGAGAATATATAATTGAAATTCGGGGAGAATCCTTCCTGATAGTTTAATGTCTGGTAATCAAATATGGATTGAATCGGGTCAATACTTCTCCGAACGCCTGACTTTATAGCGTATATATCGGACAATATATGAGTTATTTTAATAATTAATTGCCCCACCCCCATATATTGTAAATAATATCAGACTTTCCAAACTCCGACTGACTTTACTTCTTATTTATTGGTGACGTTATGTGAGGACCCTAATGAGTAGTAATGCCAAAAATAGATTAAATTGGGTCACTACCACGCCTATCTCCCATGCCTTTATACCGTATAATTCTATTCATGAGTAAGATATCTTAGAAAAAATAGCTGAACGTATAATATATAGCTTAATGCCGAAAATATGTGAAATTGGTTCACGAATTACGCAAACTCCAGTTGCAAGGGTATAAAATGTTCAGTTATACCCGAACTTAGCCCTGCCTTACTATTTTTCTACTTACATTTCATTTAGCTCACTTGTTCGCTTTTATGGAGATACATATATTTGATCTATATTGATTGTGATTTCTGAAATTAAACCCAAATATTTTTCTTTTATAGAAATTAGAATATTTAGAAATATACTATACATATAAACGAAAGAAATCTTCGGTCATATAATTTTTTTATTTGTAATAAAAATATTTAAACTTCCACAAATGGTCACATCTGATTTCAAATATAATATGTATGAATGCACATATACATTCACCTCCTTCTATGCATTGATGATTTTAATTAAAAAATTCGTTGCTGGAAACGGTTCAATTTTCTATTTATTTGCTTTCGTGATGCAAAAATTTCATTTTGTTACGTTACTCATACGCCATGGCAACCAAGGTGTATTTGGGGCATTAACTTTAGTCCTAGCTGTCAACATATCGTTACAAAAGAAATATACAAATATAGCTTATGAGTCCTTATTTTCACCATTTTGTTGTTTGAATATTATTTTGCCAATTTTTATTTAAATACAAATATATTATATGCACCATATATATAAAATAAAGCAACACTTCTGCATAATGCCAAGGCAATTTACATGAAAAACGAAACCAAAGCCTTTAGTATTACCACAGGCAATATTTGCAGCGCTTAAGCACTTGAAAAAGGATCTGTGATAAATTAGCGGTATTTTTGCTTGAACTATGTTGTGGCTGTGATTGATTGACTGAAAATTAAGCAATGTGAGCACAAGAAAAGCTTGTGTTGATAAAAAAGACATTAAACAATTTCTTTGTTGTATTGTAATATATATTTTTGGTAATTCTTTTCACAGCCATGCGGCCATTTGATGACCTAAGGCTCTCAAAATGAATCGGTTAGTTAGGAGAAAGGTTGAGAAAAATTATTTCAGGTTAAGTAAAGTTAACGTTGACTACTGCCTATAAAAGTGGTATGTTGGAGCACGAATGATGTTCCAAAAACAAACCATAATAACTTTTATTATTTAATGCTTTACTTTATATTTTTTATTCTGTAATACATATTATTTTATTGTATTTAATTAATTATTTTTAAAAATTATGGACCGTAAATGACCTCCATGCTCAGCCACGCATTAGCAACCCCTAATTAGAAAATTATTCATTGCAGCCTGAAATCGGAATTGCCTCAAATATCGATTTAATGGACTGCTATCAAAAAATTCTGATGAAGTCAGGTCAGGGGACCTTGGAGACCAGCGGTAAGAGGGTGAAAGTACTCATTTATCTGCTTAAACTAACGGTCTCCATTGACAGTTACTGTGACCGGTTTCTTCGAAGAAGTCTGGGCCGACAATACAACCTGAGGAAACTGCGCACCACACAATGACTAGTTCTGGGTGAAATTCCGTCTCGTGCATTATTTATGAATTTGATTCGAAGAATGAAGCGGCACTTTTGTTTGTTAATATTTCCGTTAAGATCAAAATGCGCCTCATTAGACCTAAACAGGCAATTTATTAAGTTATTGTCTTCTTCAACCATTTCAATAATTTTTTGCAAAATTCCAGGCGATTTGGCAAACGTAGAGGGTTTAACTGGTTTGTTATTTGAGTTTTGTACGGAAACAGGTTTAAGTCATCATTAATTATCCCTTGTAATAATTGACTGCTAACTCCAAGTTGCGCCGATAAGTTGCTCATGGAGGTGAGTCCAAAATCAGGATTAAAATATTTTTAGACGGAAATATCAGAGTGGAAAACATGGTACCGCTGCACTATCGAAATCCCATTTTCGCTATATAATATTTTATTGCATGAAAAGTACAATCTTTATTCACATTACAACAAATATGCAAAATAATTACTTAAAATTTAAACTTTGCAGATAGGCGGCAGTAAATGTGTAAAATGAACTTTTAATTTAATTGAGACAATTTATAACCCTTTACGGCGGCGAAAACACTTAATGGAGTAAACAAAAAATCAACAACGCAACTTGCGAAGTCATTATAAAAAGGCGCACAAACTGCTGCAAAATAATAAATGGAATGAAATTATACGAAATCGCGGTTAATGTGTGCAGCAAACGAGTCACGCGAAAGGTTTAACATTTCATAGGCATTTCCAAATATATCGCATATATATGTGGGTATCAAGTTTCTGCAGCCTATTTCGCAACCCTTGAGTGTTTGCTTATAATACAAGCAACTGCTTACTAAATAATTAAAAACTGAAAACGTATAAGCAGTAGTTATTTATAACAGAGGGTCAGTCGAGCGATTAAAAAGGAGGAAGCATCACATTTCAACATTCAGATAAAAATATATTTCTACCATTTCGTTATCGGCAAATCAGACGGAAAGATACTGTTGCTTAGTGCTTTTCAAGGTGTGAAATGCTTTCTGCCGCACTCAAACTATATAGTTCTTATATAATTTAAATTTACCGCTGCGGCTCAGCTATTGTGGCTGCTTGCCGTGTAATTAAAAATACTAACTAAGAGGCCAAGTAATATAATATGAAAATAAAAAAAGCTGCGAATGCAGTTACGAGCTATGAAACAGCTCTTACTAATGCTTGGCAACGAATATCAAGCTTAATCAACAATGAAACATATTTGTCCAATGAGACATTCGAGGTTGTTATTTGTGAATGACGTTATTGCTTCGATAAAACCGAAGTTTTTTCTTATTAATTTTCAACTTTGTTAATAACAAAAGCTTCGTTTCACTTTGATTTCTGAATGATTAGGTCGCTACATATATGCTAACTATCTATAATAAAATAATAATCTTATATCTACGAATCATAGTATATAGTAGCGTAGAAGTAAAGTGTTTAACCATATATAAATATTAAAATAAAAGCGGTCGGTATGTATGTAAGACACTTCGCTTACTATAATAGCAATAAATATGTTACTCATACGCCACGGTTGCTCAACAATATCATGTCAAAGTGTGTCAAGTGATATATTATTTTTTCAGTACCACCAAGAATTCGGGCTTCCTGAATAATATTAAATTCCATTAGAAACTTTGAAGTCAGTTGAAAACCTCAAAGCTTTCAACATTTTTAACCAAAGTAAGTATACCGTATAAAAAAAATTGCTTAAAAAATTATTTACTAGAAATTTTACAAATAGTTTTCCTTTTATAGCCACCATTACCACAAAAGAGCGCTACCATGGATTACCTTGTTCTCAATTTGTATACCACATCCATTTCTGCGCAAAATGTAAAAACTATGTATTTTAGATCGATGTTCTTTTAAACTTTTGAACTATTTGTCGTTTTTGCTGGCAAAAATTGCTGTTCTCTGAAAATAATTTTGTTATGTATCGTTTTTGCTAAAAACTCAATCAGTTGTTTGATTGTGATACGAAAAAAATTATAACCGAAATCATTTATCCATAGTCTCTCAGGGGTCCAGTTAAGAAGATAGTCCTTGACCATCTTCCACGCTACAACATCCTTCTATCGCTTGAAATTTTTAAACTTGCTGCCACCAGTAAAACATTTTCATAGACAAAGATCGGCTTAACCCTGAGTAAGAAGCTCTTTTGAACTGTGTCAATTAATTTCCGGGCAACAAACCCTTTCACTGGCTTATGTTCTGGCGCTTATGTATTTATTGAACTTATGTGGTACCCAATTTTCTAAATACAGAAGAGATCCCGCTAATAATAAAACGGGCTTGACGTAACTTGTGGTTTCTTGCAATCGGCCATTAAAAGGATACTATCAAGAAGTGATGCAATCAATAGCGGGCGTCGGGTAAAAACAACCTGCCTGTTCAATGAGATAAGAAATAAAATCGCTGCTATGCTGATATATTTACCGCTGCTTTAAGGTCTCTCGCATGTTCATTCAAAGCTTTTTTTAGTCAAGGAAATTGTCAAAAACTGTATTAAAAATTGAAGGTGTGCTAGATTAAAGTATGTGAAAGTTCAAGGCCCAATATCATACAAGCTGTAACATTTTTATGCTAATAAAACGACACGCATATGGCAGATAGCTTCTAGAGATAATGAAATTGGATGTGCCACTTTTTTCATCCTCACAATTTGTGGTAGTGCATTCCTCTTTCTATTTCGCAAATTATGCTATAACTGAAAAAGTGTACTAACGGCATTAATAAGAATATGTGCCATACACATTTGACAGTATACAAGCTTATCATGTGATGCTTAATCCCAGTCACAGGAGCTGACATATTAAGTATGCATATGTAGGTATATAACTAAATAAGTATATGTGTCATGCAAATGCGTATAGCATGTGGCATAAATGTAGCGAACAACAGTTTTATGGTTGCATTTAATATCCTCAACTGGCCTGCTGGTATTATGATTACGACTACTGACATATCCACACAAGTAGGCTTTTTTTTATTGCTGAGTTAAGTGTTTTATTTATTTTTCCTTATGTAATATTTACTTTAATATATGTATATACTCAAATGTAATATTATTTTGTATATACCATATACATACTTATGGATTTATATATTTTCGCCTTTTATATATGAGCATACTGTTGGCATAATTATATGTGTTTCCCTAGCTACTGTTATATTAACCCTCATTGATAGCAATTTTCGCAAACGACTTTTCACTGACTTTGACCTCTCGTATTCAGAAAATTCTGGTAGCGCATGCCTTCAAAGGCATTTGGTTTACTTTATTTGGCATTATTGCTTGCGTGCTGTTCATGTCATTAATGAAATATCAATTTTTTTGCTTCTGCGATATACTTTTAATACCCAGTAGGAAAAAGCTAGAGAAGTAGAAGAAATTGTAAAAAATAGTATTCTTAATAAATATTTCGGCTAGATCAAGGAATATAAATACTGCGCTTATTACCATTTTTTTTTTTTTAATTAAAATGGAATTTTGAAGTATTCTTTTCAGTTAATAAATAATTGTATGTATTCATGAGTGGCTGAGTACCCTACAATTTGTGGCTGGGTATAAGCAAAAGTTTCCAGTAATTGTATTTTCATAGTAGATACATACCGTTAGATATATCTGTGTACAATTTATGGCATGGGTAATAATTTTTATGGTGGCGCATTTTATTTTTAGCACTCTTTGGTTAATTTTTTCTGCATCAACGCCATTCAATAGCTATTAAAAGCGTGCAATTAATGGCCTTTTGCAGGCGACAACAAACACTAAACGACAGCGGCAAAACAAAAATGCGACATTAAAGTGCAGAAAAAACAAACAACAATAAAAAAAATTGCCGACCAGTATTAACAGCGTCAGCTTGTACAACAAAGCGATAAAAAATATTTTAAAAACAACATTAACAGCAGCTACAATGGCCTAAATGACAACTCCACTGACAACAATAAAAAACAATAACCACAACAACAAACAAAAGCATGGCATAACAAAGTATAAGCGTCACCGATCATAAGGACAATCGTCGGCTGTTGAAATTAATACGGTTGTGTCTGTAAATAAATGTTTGTAAGTATGTACAAGCGCAAAACAACCAAAAACAAAAATTTAAATAAATAAAAATTAATTTATAGACAATAAACGCATTACGGAAAGCTGTGGCGCAAAAAAAAAAAAACAAGAAAAAAACCGAAAAATTCGCAATCAAATTTAACAATAATCAATTCCAATAAATGCAAACAAAGGCAACACAACAACAATAACAAAAAAAATGTCATAAAAATAAACCACAACAATAACCAAGCAGCTGTGTGTGGGTGTGTGTAATTGTATGTATGTGTTTGTTAGTGCTACAAGGCAGACAGAAAAAATTTAATTATCGTTAAAATCGTTTATGTATGGGTAAGCAATTAATTACGGCACATTTATGTTGATGGGGAGCCCACATGCCGATACACAATTTACGACTTTGTTCGTACTTTTTGTAGTAGTATGAGTGTACAATCATCACACACACCACTTCGTTGCGCTGCAGGTACTATATACCGCGTTGTTGATGATTTACATACCAGCTACACATTAACACCCAGCTGCGTGGTTAAGCAAATATGTCAACATTCGTTTACCGTGGCGTATGAGCGATATTCTTCTACGTAAAGCATTCACTGATGGAAACGAGCTTTTCAAACTATGTTACAAATATTTAATGTACTACGTATACAATAAAATGTGCTTTGGCATTTTGGCGCATGTTTATTTTATATTATTTATTCGATTAAAATTATTTTAAGCATGTGCGAAAAATCATGTGTACATTCGTGAGAGCTCGCTGTATGTATGTACTATACAATACGGATAATGCGTTTGCTATGACCGGAATTTGTTGTCAAAATATTAATGAGTCGCCCGAATAGTATATACGTTTTTCTGAATATAAATTCTTAAATACATTTTTGCAATAATTACGTTGGCCACCCCAGAGGAGAACAAAATTGAAAAATAATAATATTGTATTTTAAAATTGTTACGCAACATTTCCGTTAAAATTAATGATACATTTAAATAATGGAAAGTCTTCAAACTGATCATTATATAAAGAGTGTGTGTTTAGACGTTGTCATTATGTAAAAATAGTGTGCTCAGACGTTAAAGGAATTCAGAGCCACTGGAGATTCACTTTAAAATCTAATTTGTACATCTGTGTGACATACTAGGAAAATATTTTCGCTAGTATACACAATTATGTGAGTATAATCTCTACGCATACCATTCTAATATACTTGACCAATTTTTTTTCTATTTGTGTTTGCGTTTTGCTGTTACCGCCATTTGAGTTGCAATTTCCTGCTGAGATATTGCCGCTACCCGGATAAAATGTAATGCAATTGCTATCTCTTCCACTATAAGAGATATGTGGAATACAGTTAACCGCTACGTGGCATTAATTTTATCGACATATGTACTTATTATACACTTGCAGTAAGTTGCTACAGAATAGAATAGCTTTGTTGACCCAACGGTTGTTCGTATCATCCAAAACTTTGTTGGTTTGGTATAAAACTTTGTACGAATTGTACCTTTAAGGTTCGCCACTTTACGACCAAAAATTTTCAACATCGGACTACAAGTGTTCAAGCCCCCCCACATCGAATATGGGGACCTCAGTGTTTATTAAGAACTTTTAATCAAAAATACGGTTAATTTTTAAGATTGAACAAATCCTTTCCTGATAACAGCTTGGCTGTATGTCAAAAATTATTACAACGTATGTAAATATACACATATGTAGTAAAAAAAATTAAAATAATTATAATGAATATACGAGGACTGGAAAAATTATAAGCCACTTTTATCCAAAGTAGAGAAATCTAATGGGATGCAAAATTAATCGTTATTGGTTGTAGTGGAATAACATGTTCCTTAACGCTAGTATTTGAATAGTTTTTTTAGATATGACAGATTTTTTTTAATAGCTCAGCAAAGTCATACTCCAACAGATTGGGCTTTCAGATGTTACCTAAATATAACTAAAGATTACATTAACTTAGT